CTAATCGGTAAAGCAGCAGATCCAACGTGGAACTGTAAATGAAACCCCGAAAAAACGCCGTGTTGGGAACAAATGTTGCAGCAAGTTATAGGTGGTTATAATGAACTCTGCTTAAGCAATTTTTTATATTCTGAAGAAAACCTGTTTTACCCCACATGGAACAAATTTACTCCGATAATGCGCTTTGAAGGAAGAACTGCGTTTTACAGGCAACGGTAGCAATCGGCATCTTTTAAATAACCGCATATAGAAGCTCAAACGAGAATTTTACAAAATAAATGCCAGCGCTAAAGGGAACAACAGTCAAAACTGGTAAGGAGACGATGCCCGGTATCGATACAACTTACATAGTACTGAAAATATAGACTGTGCATGGGTTTATATAGTGCGGCAGTAGCATTTAAAAAAAGATATATCTCTGCTGGCCGCTTTTTTTCAAACTGAACGTCCTTTAACCCCTCTCCAAGCGTATGGGGTCTATTCCTTGATTCTTTATCGTTCCGTCAACTTTCACGTGACATGTACTGAACGTTTTCTCTTTGTTCACCTTAACTACGATCAAAAGGTCGATCATACACCATGACAGTACCTTTTTTATGGAACATAACAAATTTATGCATATTGTGCAGTGAATTCATCCACAGTTCTGCATGGCGTCGATAGCTGCAGTCTGCGGCTAATGTGACGCGTTGTTCTACCCCTCAGTGACTTTTTTCAAAGCACATTTATCATCAATTAAAGGGCCCCTTGGGCCTTGAATATACAATTTATTTATTTATCAACTGGATAAGTGGTCAGCAAATGGCACATAAGCTTTAACCGAAAAACCTGTTGGACGCTCCAGCCTTTCATTCTACGAACCATTGTTATCTTTCTAAATAATTGCATGATATCAACCTCATCATGTTACTAAGATAGTACACGAAAATTGAAGCGTTTTTACTATGGATGGTATGGTTGAATGACACTACTAATTCAGAACTAGTTATCCTTCTGTTGATTTCGAAATGATGGATAATGATTAAAGAAGTGCAGTTACCGCCAAGGAGAACGGGTGGTAAAGTTCTAGGCCACTCTTCTTATATCCGAAAGACCCGATAGACGACGTTGCTATTTGTCAAATAATTTTAAGAGACAAATTTTCAGTATTTATATCTCCTTCGCCCTTCATCTTGTCGATCTGTGGAAATGCCTCAGCCCGTTTTTGCGGCTGCCTGTCAAAAATTATGAAACACTGTTCTATAAATATATATTTTATTTGGCGATCTTAATCACGTGAACCTACGCCTTCCTATTCTTTAGACTTGGAAGATTTTCTTTCGTTCAACATACTTGCTGACGCTTTTCCTGATCAAACTACAATGAAGTGCTTAAACTTTTTGAAAGTTAAAAATTGGACCCTGTTGCCTGGCTTGGGGAACTTTCTCTTATCGGTTCTTCCGAAAATCCACACCGATTCTAAGCAATCATTGTTAAGTAAACTTCGAAATCCTTCCCCGAAGAATGTTTGCCTGCTTCACAGTCTTGTACTCACTGTTGCTCCAAATCTTCTTAAACTTTTGAATATCCATCTGAAAAAACTCTTAGATGAAACATCCGAAATCTGTTTGTCTCCCGGAAACTGTAATGGGTCAAAAGAGAAGGAATTTACTTGGAAGACGTCAAAAGGAATTGCCCTGAAATTAGGCTTACGTGGTGATTTCAAATAAGTTAATCTGCTCCTAAAATAGAGATTGCCGGCTTAAAAGACCTGCTAGTTAGATTAGCATTGCCGGAAAAGACGAGGGAGATTTAAATGGCCATTTCCGTTTAATTACTAATTATCAGCCAGTCGTACTCAATCCAAGAAGTCGCACCACCCAAGACCCAAACCGCTCGATTTGTTGATAAGAAGTACTTCGCTCTAACTATTGAGCCACGGGCTCGTTGTGATGCCGGCTTAGATCGGGAATAGTAACACTCATTGATGGACGCTCACCGATCGCAAAAGGGAATTCACTCGTTTCGTTCAGCCTTGGATCTCACTCTCGAGCCCCGCCTGCAGCCGTGGTTCTGCCCTGTATCGATGAGCGCAATGGTGAAACATCCTCCAAAGCTCTGTAGTGCAGCAGCTGCGAGGTCAAGTTATGTCGTCGCTTCTCTTTATGTCCCGCCCTACTCAACCGCGGCCGGCTTCAATTCATTTTATTAACAAGGTTCCTAATGTACCTAAAATGTCTGACGGTTGGCGTACGAGAACGGAGTCCAGAAATCGAGCTTAGACTTGTAAATACAATAGTCGAAATATTTTGCAGTAAAATGTTTGTTTGGACGGACTTATTTGTGAAAGCTTTTGCCGTACATCTCTTGCTCCCTATCAAAACGTGGAGTTAAAAGAAAATAAGGAGAGGCAAATAAAGCAGATTCAGTGTCTTTGGGTATGAAATAAATGCTCCTTAGGAGGCATAACGTGATTGTGCGTACCCATGCCGCAAAATAGTTTCCTTCCAGCCGTTAACGTCCCATCCGGTGAAGCGTTGTGACGCTTGAATTCCTCAAAACCTCCGAATCTAAGACAAATTGTTGCGACATGGAAAATTTTGAGCATTAAAAAATGCGTATATTTATTTTTGAGAAACAGTTCGATATTCGTTAAAGAACGGCTTACAGAACAAAGATGGCGAAATTTCTGCAATTTTGACTTTTAAGAAGACGTTAAAGGTTTTAATTAATGGGTTTTGTTTAAAAATGCGACAGCTCAGTCCGTTAATTGATCCTTTGCTACAAGGCTGACGGAGAAATGTGGGAGGCTATATAAGAGCGCTAGTGACGGTAGTGTAAGGGCGTTGCTATGGAGTTTCCAAAACATGAATGGAAGAAGTATGATCGCTCTAAACCTGCCGGCTGATTCGAATCAGAGTATTTGACGACCAAATAATGGTGGTTCAAGAGCTACCATCACATTCTGAAGGATAGAATTGAAATAGTCCTTGATCTGGGCTCCGCCTCATGACCTTCAACTTTGCAGCGGCATTGGCTTGAAAGTAGATGCACTGAACTCGTGAAGCAATTTAGTTTTCGCTCGTTTTTTACGCACACAACCCTATGCTCACAACAGACGGGGAAGACTGACCAATCGGAGGGCTGGGACATGCAGATCCGAATAGCAATCAAGATATCGCATGGAAAACAGAGACACCCTTGGGTAGAAATTTACGAATCCATAGCTACTGATCTTTGCGCATTATGGTTGGGCATACGATCTTTTAACCAAATATTTGGAGACAGAGACAGTACCCATTGACTGGAATAGCCCTGTTACGTGATATTCAGGAAAAATGATAGATTACTATGTAAGCACGGTAGCATAAATCTCTTCGACCGCTTCGGCCAATACTATGACACGATGATAAGAAGGAATTCTTGGACATGTAAGCATTGATTATTCGACTGAACTCTCAAACGGCCTTTAAGCTAATAACAGCCGATGATCCTATGTCTCTGCATTTAACTCTATCCATCGGGATTTCCGGCGGCGTACAATACTAAATGAGAGAATCCCATAAAAACTGTCCTGATATCTTCGGACCTACTATGAAATGATAGAAAAGAGAGTTTGTACGGATGGCGAAATTATCCCCGATGTTCATAAGGGCAGCGTTCTTTCACGGGCGTTACTTAAGGGTGTGATGGAGTAGGCTCCTCCACCACACCGAACGAGTAAACCACCGTGGCGGTAAGATAGGTCATGATTCGTGCTCATGAATACAGGCTATGCCGTTTTTGCGGTTCGGGCAACCGGCTTCACAAAAAGGTCCTTGTTCTGGCATGTGTTCGAAGGCAGCGGAAATAGAACTTCAAATTATCTCTCTCAGAATAGGAGGCATTTTGAGTAACAAGGGCTAACCTCTGACATGTCGATAGCCTTTGAATGTCGCAAAGTCTGATGATGATGATGATGATGATGATGATGATGATGATGATGATGATGATGGGACGATAATGATGATGATGATGATGATGATGATGATGATGATGATGATGATGATGGTTAATGATGATGATGATGATGATGATGATGATGATGATGATGATGATGATGATCGATGATGATGATGATGATGATGATGATGATGATGATGATGATGATGATGATGCTGAGGATGATGATGGTGAGGATGATGATGATGATGGTGGTGTTGATTATATTTATGATAATACTGAGGTTGATGATGATGATGATGATGATGATGATGATGATGATGCTGACGGTGACGTCAGTAATAATAATAGTAGTAATATTAGTCGTAATATTAGCAGTATATGTTGACGATGATGATGATGAATATGATGATGATGATGATAATGATGATGAACCGCGACATGGTTGTCGTGAGGCACAAGAAAATGCGCCCGATTTTTACCACTGCTGTGCAATTCGGTTCCCCAGTCAAAGTGTTGCAAA